CTGTTTCTTATGACCATGGGTTGAAGATTTTTCCGGCTCAAAAGCCATACTGTCTATCATTCAAGTACTGAGATTTTGTAAACGTTGAGAAAATATATTAACTGTTGTAACAGATATACAAAACAAAAACATTTAAGCATCGTCATACAACCTTTCATTACAATCCAAGTCCCCAAGTGGATCCTTGAATTAAAATATGAAGAACAAAAACCTAGTTGCCACTGAATCACAAAACGTGAAAGCGCACCCGTCTTGTTGACTTGTTACACTATTTATTTTTCGTACACTTTTCTAACGCAGATAAAAGGCAAATGGAATGGTGGGAATCGGGACTTTGTGGTTCTATATTGTGTTTGAGAAAGAGAAACACTAATTTGAAAACACTAGGGAAAATTCTATAATATAATAGCTTGTTGAAATTTTCAGAAAGTATTGTAGTCTGCTGTAGTTGATTTTTTTGATTATGGCGTTGTCTATTCCATCTGGGCTTGGAGCTTTGTTGTTAGGCAGTTCTTGGAAGATGTAATGAATTTCTTCTGTTGTTAAAGGTGGGTCAAATGGCGTTGTTGGCTTGGTAGTGTCCGTCCGCATGGAATGGTGCAATGGTGTGTCCATGTTCGGATTGCCATTTGGAAATACCTCATTTAGTATTACATTGATGAGATGTTCTTTAGTTGTATTTATTTCCTCTTTTGTTTTTGATGAATTAAAATTATTTGTAAAAATTGGTGATTTTTCTTTTAATTTCGATTTGAAAGTGTTGCGGCCTTCATATGAAGTTTTGTATCTTCTTTTGACTGTTAGTATAATTCAGGTACTATTTTAAAGGTTATATATTGATGATCGTATAGTGATATTTGGACGAGACTTTTCCAGTTTGTAATTCTTGATGCTAATTCTGGATTTGTTATTGTAAGATCAATCCAACTTTGTGCTATACAAGTGAGAAAGATAGGTGGACTGTTTGGAGATGTCTTCTATTGCTAGATGATGTTTCTGTTGAATGAATTGCAGTAATCCTCTATTGTTGTCTGTGTTTCAACCCCGCACTGGACTATGTGCATTGAAATCTTCTGATATTGTTAACATGTTAATGGAAGTGGAATTGAGTCGACTTCTTGTAGGATTTTTTGAAGGTTTAAAGATGGAGGAGCATATACCGAGATACAATATATTGAGATTTGATGTCTCGAGCTTGATTGTTGCAGTATGAAAAAATGTATGAATTATTATAGGCATCAGAGGCCCGCAATAGATTATTAAAGATTTGGTAGAGTGTGACAACAAGCTAAAGCGTCCTGAAGGAAGTTCTAATTTTCATGCAGGTCGGTTCTTAAGCCAGTATTAAATCTATTTCGTCTTATTGCGCTATTTTAAATGCGTGAGGTAATGTAATTTATGCTCCCTGTAATCTACAGAGAGCATAATTTGTAGTAGTTTAAGTGATGGATTATTGATAAATTATTTGGTTGTGGAATGAGAGGTTGGATTCATAGAAAAGTCTTGTTGAGACATTAATAGACTGTTTTTGAAACTATATTTTCAACTTCCTGTTTGTAGCTTGTCAGTTGACGTCGTTAGCGGTATGATGAGTGTCGAAACTTGTACTGCTAAATTTGTTACTGACAATGAAGTTAATGTCAGAGGGGCAGCTGGCACGACATTCTGAGATATGATGGTTCTCTATTTGTTTGCTATCCATAAGGTATTCAAAAGCTGGAGGTGCACATTCTATTATCCATTTATTCGAGGTTCCGCTGATTTCTAGGTTTTTTAATAATGGTTTAAGGGAGTGGTCAGGTAAATTAGTTGCTGAATGAAAAATATTTAAAGATACCCTCTTGTTGTAATTCAATGGGAGAATGTGTAAATTGCATTTGGACTGTCTTGACAAAGAGACTGTCTTGAAAATTATTTCAATTATCTCCGTGTCAGGTTTCTTTCCATACAGCATATCCGTCAGTTTAACTTTTCGCAGAATAAGTCCGTCAACTCTTCTATATTTCGTTGATAAAAACTATATAGCTCGGGCTTTCACTATGAGGAAGGCCTTTAATAATGATCTTTTGAAATTTTCAAAGGTATATGTTTGGCCTCCGAATTCTCCTAATAAAAATTTCCCTATACTCTTCCACCATAGCCTGTGCTCTTAGTGCAGACGTGGCAATGGCAACTTTTTGTCTTTCAGGCACAGGGTATAACTGGAAATGATTTTCGAGGCCTTCTAAGAATATCGCCACCGAATTTTTTCCGTCGAAATTGACGTTTGGCTTGATAGATGCTCTCATCGTCTGGACCAGGTATCCAAATCCTTCTAATTGTTGTTGGAGTTGTACAGGAGCTTCCATCCAGTTTTCGGCCATTTCAGTTCGTAAGGTGTTCGGGCGCCAATATGATGTTGCGTGGCCCCAACTTGCCAGCAACAGTAGTAGTGACTGCTATGAACTGGAAATTACACAAACTCGTAAGAAGGGTTTAAATCCCTTTTTATTTCACTTTAGATATCACAGTTGCGTTCACTTGACGCTCACAAACTACGCTGACCCGGCGGTGTAACAAAAATAGAAAAGTACAACTAAAAATAAATGACAGGATGAATATCTAACGAAATCACTATCTACGAGGCTCTATAATCGTAACTAACTTAACCGCGTTCTAAGATACAGCTGAGATTCAGCAAACTTTCTGATTAAGAAGTTGAAAGATTCAACGAACTGCCGAAATAGGCACACAGGCCGAAACGCGCGGTTCTTAAATTTTCTTCCTAGCAACCTTCACGCTCGTGATTCAAGAATCACACTTACAATCTCGTTTCCCTTCTATTTAACTCAATTTACTTCTGCTAAAATTTGAATACTCTGCGCGTTCTACTAAAATCTACATACTCTGGCATTGGCAATTCTAGGGGAAAGTAAAGGCTTGACAGGAAAGATAGCTTAAACTTAAAATAAATGTTAGTTAAAATAAATTTAAAGCGTACAAACTTATGAAATGATCTATAATTAGTACTCATCTTTGATCCGGAGGGTAAAAGTCGACGTAATTTATAGTTTTTGGCTTGGAAATGAGAGTTGGCCAGGCGTCAAACCGAAGGTACTTGCGAACTTTTCACAAGATCTCGTTTAGCGATGTTTAGAAGTCACCATTATCGCATGGTACTGATCTTCGTTGTCCACAGCACATTCATTAAGAACTTTAATCAGACATAATACACTTTAAAAATTGTTTTTATTTCAAGGCTTAAAAACGCGCGCTAATCGACAGTCTCTGTGCTCTCTGCGCTTCTACAAAAACTTTCTCTAGTGTGTCGTATACTGGGAGCAGTGTGCGCTTCTTTACTATGCGACAGAGGACGTGGGCACTACCCCTCTACCAATACGGTTAATCGGTATAGGGCCACGTCCACCTTTATCTAGATAACCATACGTGGTAATTGTGCTTATACACTAATACATAAACATACATACATATTTGGTACTTAATACAGTGGCGTTAAAGGTAATTAATGTTAGACACTGGATAATACATTGCCATGTTACAAGGTGTATGCAAAAGCATGGATACGGTAGCATATATACATAACGTGTGTACTCATATGTTGAGTACACTATGATCCTTTGAAGCATTATCATTAGATACACAAGAAATGTACATACTGAAATATTAGATGCGCAATGTTATGCTGGAATAAGTAATTAGTACAGTGAATTAAAAGTTAGACCCTAGATTAGTATTGTGTGGTACAGTGTCTTGCTACTGGATTATTTGTACTTCTTTACTATAACTAATCACTACACAATAAAAAACGTCGGAAATTTTCTGTTGAGGAACACTCAAATAACAACATTTAACTAATATGTAAGCCCCACCAGTGGCCGAGTCGTTAAGACTACTGAATACTGGTAGTTGGACTTGGTTAGGTTTTGATCTCAGGTGAACGGGTTGGCTGCATGGTTGGCTTTTGTGTGTTTCCTCATGTGTAACGTAACGTAGATTATTTATGTCAACAGGTAAAAAGAACAGAATAGTCTTTGGAAACTGACAAGGGTGTGCTTTAAAATCTTCCGATGGTACAGGTTGAAGCCAGGCAAGCACCAAGGAGACATATTGGATATCGCCGGCCGTTGCTAACTGCTAACTTTGAATGAAATTCCGAGGAAGAACACCCGAGAATGCGGTTTCCGTGTGTCTCTCGCCCCTCTTTCCCTACTATCAACCTCTCCAGAGGATTTCATCTAGCTCTGCATTTTGAGCACCCCCTTGCCGCACAGACGCTGTACAAACACAAACGCTATTGTCAGTCAAAAGTATTGCACAGACGCTGTACAATACTTTTGACTGACAATAGTTAATAGTTTTAAAAGAAGAAAGTTCTTACAAGAAATAAAAATAATACATTTAACTTAGAGGTCTTCAGTCGGCAACATTGGTTCTACTTCTTTAGGCATTTTTTAGCGCAAGCTGTCATATAACGGAAAAGATCCTTAAATTTATTTAATTACATTTTAATTTCAAAAAGAGCTGCGTACCTTCTTTTGAAACAGCCCGCATATCAGAACAATTTTAGGATAGTAAAGTCTCACAAAAGATAAATATTAACCCTGAAATTTGGATGAAAGTGATGATAACAATCACATTATATCAATAACGAAGAATCATTTTGTAATTATTAATGTAACACATTAAGGAAATCACTATTTATTATGAAATGTTTCCCTCACAAACGAAGAATAGAAAGAATGAAATTAGTATTCAAGGGCGACTGTATGTCAACGCAGTTTCGATACAACTATGCGAATGAATGAATCGTGGAAAGCAAGTATAATTTTGAAAAGCCGATGCTGATAGCAGATGACAACGCGCTCCGTCTATCATAACTGTTTATTGCTCTTTTTATTGCGGCGAGGACATGCCAACAGAGCGATTACTTCGTGACCTTGGCGCTACCTACGGTAACCCCGCGGTTGGGCAGGAAATTCAAAACATATATAATAGAAACGAACGACGCAACGTCGCATTTACTTTCGACTTCTTTTTCGTCGGCATCTGAAGGTGTGTGATATTTTCTTCATTTTCAAGCCGTAAGTTAAATTTTGGTCGATCAAATTTTTCTCTGTAATTTAAAATCTGTTAACTGACTAAATTCGCTTTTTAAGAAAATTCATAATCGAATTTCATACTGAAGTTTTCTAGTAAAAAGCAGTAGTATTTCGATTTTTAAGGTATTCATTCACAAAGATTTTTACATGAACACTAATTCAGGAATTAAACAATTCCTAGTATTTTTTTTTTAAATCTAACTGTTTAATTTTTCATCCTGAGTGAAATATTAATGACTGATAACTGAAGAAAAAAAGGGATAGTTTTAAAAGAATATATTTCATGGCAATTATTGAAATGATAGAAAAAATTCTTTTTATTATTTAAGTAAATTTTCGAGCGATTCTGTATACTTGAAACATTAAATTATGAAATCATGTTCGAATTTATATGAAAATATTGATTAAAAATTGGATCTTTTTTTATTCTATTACATTTATTTTTATTGTCCATAAATTTTTATTTGTGTTTTGTTGACAGTTACGTGTTACACTGAATAGAATTTGTGAATAGATTGAAATTATTTTCATTTGTGCGACAGACTGAAGACATATACTAAAAAAGGAAATATGAATATTTTATCAAAATTTATATTGAATAGATTGAAATTATTTTCAAAGCATAGACTAAAAAAAGAAATATGAATATTTTAATCAAAATTTACATTAATCCAGTAAAACTCCAGTTATTCGGACTCTAGATGTCAGGCTCATTACTTCTGTACATGAATTACTGCTATTGTTGTGTAAGTGATCAGTCCATCCAATTAACCAGTTACAAAACCCGTGGGTTAAATCTCGGCGAAAGAATAATCTATTTTTACGCTTCCTGATCTAAAAAAACCTAAAATGGCTTAATATTTTTTATTTTTAAAAACAAACCAAATAAACGTTATTTTTAACTTGTTACGTGTTTTTAATATTTTTCGTTAGGTAAATAATAACAATGCATTACTTTAGATATTTTTAGAAACTATTAAGTTAAATAAATATTCAGCATTTCACAAGCATGTAGTCCTCTCACACTAATGTAAAATGACCAGATATCTAGCTTCGGGATATATCCCAGAAAATGTCCCGCATTTTACATATATTCCCAGACTTTGCAAAAATGTTGACATAATTTTTTAATACTCCTCCATATTCAAGATGCGATGAATTTTTTTTTTTTTTTTGTAAAATCAAATATATTCAACAATCTAATAATCCTGCTTTCTAGGTGTAAATTTTAGGGTAGTCGTAAGATCCACAAAAAGACTTGTCTGTGGGAGAACCTGTGGATTTTCCAAATGTGAAATGCTGCTCGAAAAGCGGCGTTTTGTGCTTGAGAAACGAATAAAATTAAATAACCATAATAGTTTTAAACAAGTAATATTTTAATAATACTGTAGCTTATAAACAGTGACGAAAATATTTTCATGAAGAATAAAAATCTGATGACAAATTATTAAATGAATTGTGGTATATTTAAAAAGGTATGCAGTTCTGAAAAATAAAATCATTATCCGAGTACACAACTAAAATGGAGCAAGATGTTCCCCCATTCAAGACAATCGCGTTGCGTTCAAATTTATAACATAGATAATTGAATTATACCTGTTGGGTTAACAGGAGCAGCATAGCGTGTATTTAGGTAATAAACGTAATGACACTTCTTACAAAAATGCTCAAACTTTCAGAGGACATAACTAAACACTAGTGCTGAGCATCACTAATAATCATAATCTCTAAAGCGGCTACCTAAGGGAAAATCGAAGTAATTTGAAACCGTGCGATATGTTTATGTGCTTTCACTAAAACATTTAGGGCCCGGGTTCGAATCCCGGAGAAGACATGGATGTTTGTAAATGTATAGTGTCGGTGCGGCAGGCGGCACTCTAAATATGCGGCGAGTCGAAAGTTCTCTCGTGGGGATTGGTGGGAGCGGAGAGGGGTGGGAGATCCCCGGATCCCCCCCGGAGTACTCTCCCTCAAAATTGGGGGTGGAAAATAGAAGTCCAACCTCTCTTAGGAGTAGGCTCTCGCAACCATTGTTACATGTAATATGGACACGACCACAACGACAACAACAACTAAAACATTTCAACAACTGCAGAGAAGGAAATCTAGTAAATATATTGAGTTCGGAAAATCTTCTCCTTTAAATTAATGGCTCGTATTAATTGAAAATAATATATATTAATTGTTCCTCATTAATATAAAGACACTAGATTTCCCATAAATGCAATGGAAAAAGCAATAACGAACTATGTATACATTTTCGTTTACTCAATGAGTCATTACTTGGTTATAAGTATTCATTTTCTAAAAATCATGTCATGTAAACTACAGCTCAAATATCAGATTTCTCTCCACACAATTAGGTTATTATCTCATTACATTCAATGTAACACAGTTAGTCAATTTCTGTTAGCTTTTAATTATAAATCACGTTAGTGCGTTTCCGTTTTCCAATACATCTTTTTCCTTTGTTTCCAATACATCATCGTGTTCCAATACATCTTAAATTATATATATATATATATATATATAATCTTTCAAATGAAAATAGTGCGTTGATTAAGTTGTAGACACCATCAGAGTCTTCCGAAGACAAACATCAGAATAAATCAACTGTGCTGTCGCCAGGCTTCGAACCATGAGGTTTCCAGTTTGCTAGCTGCGCGTGCTCACTATTTACACAATGAGAACACACGCTGGAGACTGTGATAATTCCTAATAAGCTAAAAATTTAAATGCAATGCACATAGTCCTAATAATTTATCTCTTCATTTTATTTTAATAATATCTGTAACTGATGTAATTTATAGTTCACCTAATTCATAGGCTTCATAACATATTTCACTGGAAACTTCTGACTCATGTATTACGTATGTTGGCACAAAATAATTGTTCCCACATCGCCTAAAATTTGGCTTTTTTAAGGAAATAAAATTTCCTTTTTCATTAAATATAAAATGGACTTTTTTTTTCCATCTAAGTCAACATGCGATCGTAAATGGAGAGAAGGAACATAATAATTTCAATTTTCTCTGGTGTTTAAATTACCAGTATCACCTCATAGCGGCTCTAAGTGCCACACTGCAAGTATGCGTTTACGAAGTCTTAAGCAAAGTTTGTATTTTTCTTAATTCTTTTAGAGAGTTTCGTGCTTAACCCATTAACCGCCAAAACTACAAGGAATGTTTCTTTTCTCATGAAAATAATAACAAATATTAAATTAAGCATTTATAACATAAATTTTGAAAATTTAAAAAAAAATGCTCTTACTTGTGGAAAGAGCGAGTGTTGCGCTCGCGCAACGTCAGCGGAATAAGACTACGGATGTTTAGTGAGTAGGATTGTACTCGTGTGATGTTTCTTTTGAGTGGAGCGCAGGATTACTTTTTAGTTGTATAACGTTTTATAAATTTACAAATCACTTTACTTGTAATTAATTTAATATTAAAATATACATTGTATTCCTTTTTACAAATACAGATTATTTCAACTGAAAGATTCAAGCATGAAAAGCTTGATTACAATCATGATGTAAAGCTACATTACATACTTTGCATCTGTAAACAGCCTGGCTGTGATACTCTTTAAAACAAAGTCTTTTGTTATCAACGAACTTTACGATATTGTCTACCATCTCCATGCAATGGTTTTTGAATGCTGAATTTACTAGGTCTTCCTGTTGCTGATCTATTTATGGCTATTTCTACACTCTCAATAGGAGTTTGCAAAAGGAATAATGCATTCTCGTGTCTGAAATCTAAAAGAGAACTTTATATTTCCAGTAGTAAAAAGTAGTGATATTTAGTAAGTTTAGATACGGTCTCACCTCATATAATTTATCAGTATCCTGATAAAAGTATACTTGATTTTACATGTTTCCTGGTTCGAAATATCTAATGGTCTCTATAGTGGACTAATAAAATATCATGGATGGTAATTCATCACCACCTAGATTTGATCGATTGGCTGTCGTGCTTCTCCCCGTTTGCCGTGGGAAAGAAAGCAAGGAATTTTCGTTTCTCCCTCATGTGTGCTTTCTTGGTGTTAGTTCCTATGACTGGTACTTATAAGATCCATGGTTCGATTCCTGGAGAAAGTACGATTAATTTTTCAAGATTTCTGGTCCAAAAGATTAATAGATTCAACAGTGTGACCAATGATATATATAAGCTAGGTTTAATAACATCAGATAGATTTAATAAACGTCAAAAAATTGTTATGTTTGTTGTTTCTGCGGCCGTCGGTTCACTCCTAGTAAATAATAAAAAGTATATAATTACAATATATTTATAAAACTGAAATATCGAGGCGTATATACAACTATCAAAAGTTCTGTACACCCAACCCATTTTATCCCTGTTAAAATTGAACCCAGAGAATCCTAAGTGTACATAACAGAAACATAAAACTGATTCATTTACTGACAAATGTATAATTTGATGCCAATTAATCCTTTCCATAATAAAATAAAAATTTTACTGTCTTTAATTGATGAAATAACGCCTGTTTTCTTTGTCATTATTTTTGATTGAATTACATTGTTTCTTTTACACAAGAGTTTGATAAAATGTAGTTGCAACACATCGATACTTCTGAAAACCTTATTACCATAAGTACTCCAGTATAACCTGCTGTGTCTATCAAGCTTCTGTCAAATTGAAGACGTCGTACCCAATTAGCACATCGATGTTACACAGTTATAGAGACATTAGGTAATTTAGAAGCAAGAGAGATTCAAAGATAAGCAACCGCCTTAGCCGTTAATCAAACCGCGGACCTCTGGAATACGCATCCAGGGTGCAGACCACCATACCAAGAAGGCATGTCAAGAAGGCGGGAGAAATACCTTATGTACTCCCCCTTTTAAAGGGCAACTGTGGTTTTTAGGGGATCCATTCGCCAAATCCTGGGTGTGGAGATTCATCATCCACCACCTTTTTAGTTCGGGCGCCACTGTAGAGACATTAGGCAATTTGGAAGCA